GGAAATGCTTAGTTTTCGAGATATTTCACCGGTCCGGACTAACCCTATATCCATACTTTTAGGGAGATGAAACACCTTTCTGAAAAGAAATCGGATTCTTTAATTGTCGAAAATATTCAAAGTTAATGTCGTCGAAAGTAAGAAAGAATATTTTAATTAAAAAAATATTTTATATACTCAATAAACACTAGATATCCTTAGAATATTTATAAAATGTTCTTAAAATCTAAAATTAACATTCTAAGAATATTCCGAAACATTCCGAAATATTATAATATTTATAGAATGTACAAGGAATATTCAGTGCGAAAAGTTCCACTTTTTATCCATATTTATATAATTACGAGGGACATCAGCTCCATCAAAAATAGAAAATAAAAATCGTATGCTGTAAATTAGGAGATCTTGTAGGAACTTACGCCATACAAATATACTAGGTGATCTATCCTAAGCGCTAAGCCAATAAAAAACTAATCAGTCATTTCTTCCCGACCGCGTTATAAGGCATTACTTAATTTGACGATCGAGTGGCACGCAGTGATCCCAATGACTCCGACGATGTTTTTAGGATTTTCTCTACAGAATTAAATATTGCTGAAATATTGTAGGAATATTATTTTACAACATTGGAATATTGCACGAAATATCGTTGAAATCTTGCAGCAATATTCCTATGTCCTCTCCCAAAAAATATTGCACAATATTTCCAAAATATTGCAGCAATATTTTTTGCAATATTCCTGAAATATTGCAGCAACATTTTTTGCAAAATCGCTGAAATGTCAGTGCAATATGAGGGAAATCCCAGACAGCACTAAATATTTATAAAATATTTATAAGATTTATTTGAATTTTTATAAATATTTACAAAAATATTTCATAAATATTTTTGCGACCTTAGCTTTAATAGGTAATAAATATTTATCATAAATATTATATATAAAATATTTATTTTTTAAAATATATACCTTAATATACATTTTCTCTTTTTCTAAACTTTTTTTAAATTTTTTACTTTATTGTTTCACACTCTACTTAATTCAAATTAATTTGTACTTCGAAAATTTGCTTACCATTGTTGAGATTTGAACCTGAGATCTCTGGTTTATAAGTCGTTTACTGTACCTACTGCACCACTGTCAGTTCGACTGAAAGATGTTTAGTATTGTATACACATGGTACCATGTCGAAAATAAATTATTCTAAATTGAAAATAAATAAACAATAAATTAGTCCAAATTTAAAATAAATTATTTATTTAAAAGAAATGAATAAATCTTTTTAAATGTAAAAAGTATGTATATTTTTAAATGTAAAGTATGTAAAAAGTATATTTAAAAAATATTTACTCACTTTAAAAGTAAGTAAAATACAAATAACTCATTTTGTAAGTTTTAAATAAATTGTTTTTTGATAATAAAAGAAACTTTAATTTAAAACACAAAAAGATACCTTTAATATTAGGAAATAATATATTTAGATTTGTAAAATGATTTACTTGGGGCATTCTCTGGCAAAAAGACCTTCTCCTCTGTCTAGAATTCTTTTAATGTACCGTGGGGACTTTTTCAAAAACTCAAAATGGCGGACCTAAGACAGCACTTTTAGTGAAGGAGTGTTGTAAAAAAATATTTACTTATTGAAAAAATTTTACAAAAGCACTAAGATAAAATACTTCTTTGGTCTATATTATGTGGTTTTACATATACTTCTAACAAGGGACCTAACAGAACTGTTCCTCACTGATTTTGATGCGCTTTGGATATGTTGTAAAGTATCGAAAAATAACACATATTTTTTTTATTTCGGCTTATCATGAGGTTTAAGGGTTAAAACAGCTTCTTGAAAAAAATAAACTTTTTTGTTTTTATAGAATAATTCTTAATAATACCTATGAGATATATAAAGAAATGCTTTCTACAAAAGTTTTACAGTATTTAATATTCTTTGCAACGGCGTGCTTCATTTTTTATAAATATAAAATTTTTTACTTTTCTTCCCTTTATTTGTTACCTTCGAAAAATTTTTAAGTTTTTATAAGGAAAAAAATTGTAAAGCATTTAATACCAAATCCATCCATATATAATAATAAAAGTTGGTCTCTCTTTAATCGTTGAAAAATGACGTGATATCATCGTGCTATAGGCGCCAAGTAGATGAATACTGTAGATAGATATGTTATTGTGGGTAGGAGAATAAAATGAATTGCAGAAAAATAAAATATAGACAATTGCATATATTTAATTTATAATCCCAGATAGCATATGGACGTCCACTGGACGTCCACCGATCGTCCGTTTGTAGACCTTGAAATGTCCAATGAACAATTAGCCCGTTTCGTCCCAAAATGATCTAAATTTTGTCTTTTCTTCATTATAATAATTTTGACAGAAAACGTTTATAGATCTTTCCGGCATTCAATACCCTATAGATGTAAGACATGTCCTTTCCGAATCTGAAGTCCATTTTTTGCTATCACGCGCTATTTTTTCAATATGGCAGCTGAAACACTAAAAAATTGAAAAAAATAGAATAGTGGAGACCAGCTCTAATTGTCACACTTTTTACATATTGATAAAAATAAAACGGCATATGCAATATTTCAGAATATT